GAGCTAGTTAAAAAAATAAATAAATAAAAATGCTTGATATTTTTACTAACTGTAGTAAGTTATTGATATTTCATATAAATTTAGTTCCAAATAGATAAATATTTTTATTAGACACATGTGAATCACTTTTGTAAAACAAATGTGTAACTTTGTACGCACCAATCAGAGTGTTTTGGTAAGCGTGTGAAAGAACTATATTGGTCTCAACTAAGGAATAGACTCAATGACATTGTTGATCTATCCTTGTCTTTCAAGTCCAGTTCATTAAAGTTAACAAGTGGGGAGGGGGTAAGTAGGTAATTGAAATACGTTTTTTCTTTGTCTTGTCAAGTTTATATTAATAATATGCTTGATATAAAATATAAAAACCATGTGTAAGTCTCGTTTTTTGGTTTGTGCTTTTGTATATGAATATACTTGCATTATTTTCCACGCTCGACATTTTATTGCTAACTCAATGATAAATTTCACTGGACATAGTTTAACAATTCATTGTTACCTTGAAATGTAAACTAATATTATAATTTTATTACATCTACTATAATAAATTTAAGCTTTAACTACAAAAGTTATAATTTGTGTTCGTGCATGCGTAGAAAAGATGCAAATACGAATAAATACAAAATTATTCGAAATAGTTATCATTTAATTATGTCTACGGTATAATTTTAAATACCAGTTAACATTATTTTTAATAAATTAATCAATGTTATTGACATAAAAATGCATATTATTTACTACTTTTTAAAATAATATGATATACTATAAACCCCCACTAGGCCTCTTCACTCTGTATAATTTGTTATTTTATTTTTAATTTTTATTTTTATTTATCTGTTTATTTTCATAAATTATTCTTATTGTTCTATATTGTAATAGATTGAATAATAAAAAATAAAAAAAAATTTAAAAACAAAACAAAAAATTTAATATTATTTTTTGATTGATATTGAAAAAATATATTCATTGTATATTTAAAATAATGAGTACGAATAAATATTGGAAAATAAATAAATAATTGTTTTCACCTACCAGTATTATTTACGATACTTAAAACAGTTACTGGTTCAGTAGTTGTTTTAAGTATCGTAAATACTCAAAAAATAGCATCTCTTATCTGAACTCAACTATAATTTTTAATCACCCTATACAAATGTTTAGTTTAATAAAATGTAACAAATGTAATTATTATAATGTTAAAATGTAACTGTATTAGTTATATAACTATTGTATAGCTGTAATATTTTATCAGTTTTATTTTTTACTGTACATTTACTTTAAGCTATCACAATATTATGCATTCAGTTAAATATACATGACTGAATAATTTAGTCGCTAATCTGAAAAAAATTATAAAATAATATATCAATGAACATTATTTGATTCAAACATAATTATGAATAATACATTAAATATACAAACAAGAATAATAAATACGTCCGTAATTACTTGGAGATGTTTATATGCAATTTCGTGATTCATTTTTTGAAATATTTTAGAACATTAATTATACACTACTGAACTTTGACAGTTTAAAAAGGACTTAAGTATTTAGCACATAGTTGAGAGTGATTTACACTCTGCAAATAAATTTAAAATTTACATCTTCAGTTTTGATTGTAAAAAGTGTATCGTACACTAATAAAATAATAACATTTATTATTTAAAAAGATTACAAATTCTTTAGTAATGTCTTATTTACATTGTCTTTTTTTTTATAATATTTATTAAAATTATTTGCAGTTTCTAGAGTTATACCAGAATAATAATTATCAGAAATTAAGAAAATTTAAATTAATACTAACATGTTATAACTGTTGTACAAAAATATACAAATAATAATAATAATAATAATAATATCTCATATACTTACTACTATTTAGAATTGAAAAATAAATATGAAATTGATTATTTGAAACGATTTTAATATAAAGTAAATTTATGTAAATATTTAAAGAATAAAAATATTTACCAAACATATGAGTGTCATATAACTGCTTAATTTCAATGTATTTAAATTATTTAACTCTAAATAATTTAATTTTATTTTGAAATTATTAAATTTATCGCAATTCCACTTAATTGGGTCCCAAGTAAAATAAAATAAAATATATGTGAGAAATTTAGACATTGAAATTATGAAAGATTAAAATAAAAAAATACATATCAATTTTTACAGTTTGATAACAAATACATATTTACATATTTCTACAGCGTAGCCTTGGTCACGATACTATTATAATATTGTTTAATATTTTTTTTAATATTTTATAACGTATTCGATATTGAAATTATTTTTATGATAAATGAATAATTAAGTTTTCAAATAATTACACAAAAAATAAGTTTCAGCAATTTATCATAAGCATTGATAAAGGTATCAAAAAATGAATAATGGTAAATTATTCTGTTCTATTGTTAGTATATCTGACTTGACATATTATCATATACATATAACTGTCATTACCTGAAGTTTTTAGTAAACTATTTAAGTATTAATGACAAATCTTAATAACATTTTCTAATAAAAAATTATATTATAAATACAATTATGATAACTTTAAAATAAATATTACATGGTTTACAATTATTATGTATTTAAATGTATTAATACCGTTTAAATTTAAAATTTTGTAGTTTTTTATAGTATTTCACTTTTAAGATTAAATAATTGTCAGATTATTAAATTGATCTACAAAATTGTCAAATGTTGCGAAAACTGTAATATATCTGTATATCACATGCCGTAAATATTTTTTTAGATATTAAAATATCAGTGCTTATTTCAATAGATAATAAGAAAAAGCAAAAGTATAACATACTATAACTAATTATTATGTTAATTATCCAATGAAATAGTTTTGTTGAATTTATTGTTCGATTCTTTACAGTATATTTGTATATTTCTTGTATAGATATCAATATTACTTGTTAATATTTTAACTAAATTATTTTATACTCACAATTTGTGTAGATATAAGGTAACAATAATTAAAAAAATAAAATAATTAACTGTTATTTATTGAAAAATTTAAATGCATGACTTTCGTTATTTTCTACAATGTTCAACATTGCCTTGAATAATTATTAATTAATTTTTATAGAATATATGTTTATAAAGTTTTAAGCCCTTAATATGAAGTAGTAGTCACAATACACAATGATAAAGACTATCAACATTGATTCGTATAAATTAAACTGAACGTTATTCAGTTTTAATTAATCGTTAACTGTAGAGGTTATCATAATAGATGTTTATCAATATTGAGATCAGGATCTATTTTGAGGCTCTGTTGAACGCTATTTGCGTTATTGGGAATTCATTTTGGGCTGTTTAAAATTAATTTTTGCCCTGTTGAAAAACTATTTATATTTGATCATCAAATTCATTAAATCAACAATTCAAGCTGAATAAAACTAAAAGGCGGATGAAAGATATCAATGAAGCAAAAAGAACAACCGTGGTTTAAAGGAATGTTTGAAGTAGCTAATAACATAAAATATTAAGAAGAAGATGGAAAACCATTAAGTTTCAAAAAGCGAGTCTTAATAAATACAAAGAAAAATAATTATTTTGTATAGTTTTATTATAATAATAATTATATTTTTTGATTTAATTTTAATTTTTCAACTAATAAAGAGTTAAATAAATCCGAAATGCTTATTCAACACCTATATTGAAAATGTTTTGGTCTAAATATATTTTATTATTTATAATTATTATACAAGGAATTTTAAATTCAAACATGAATGAAAATTTGTAGTAAAAATCACTTCAAACATATTTATAGGTATACCGTAAATATATGGTAATAGTTATTGCATACAGATATACAAAATTAATTTGTATATTGCAAATTGCTAAAATATGTATAGGGGTTTGTAAAATAATTACGCTGTTGACAAAAATCCTGGAAAAATTGACACTATAGTCATTATCTACTTTTTAAAGTGGTTTATTGTGGTCGTACTATTTATTATTAAAAATTAAACGTAATTTAATAAATATTTTAATTTCTCACTTGCCTTTATCCTTTTTTGCGTGCCAAACATTTTCCATCTCTGCGTTATAGGGTTGTTTAAAGTGTACTATACTTATTTTTCGATAAAGTAAGTTACAATACGATTACATGAGACAAGTTGGAAGTTTGGAAGTATAGAGATATTTGTTCACTATTGTGTTGAATGTTCGGAAAACTTAAAACAATATTTCACATAAATATACAATAAACTTATAAAATATTACGTTCATAAATAATAATTATATATCGACTGTTATATGTATTGAGTGTGTTATAATAATTGAAAACTTGATTATGTTTTAAGTTTCTACTTGTAATGTTTAACGGTTTTTAGAAAATTTGATAATTTAAATCCATTGACTTAATGAGTAGGTATATTATGTCTTATTTAATAAAATTATAAAAATAATTTTATGAATATCAAAGCAACGAGAAAAAAATAATAATAATAACTGTATTTTTTTAATTTCCTTCATATTTTTAAGACCGCATCTGGATTATTTACTTACAATTATTTATGTGGCATTGTTCAATAAAAAATTATTATAATTCTATTATACTATATAATAACTATTACATGAAAATCACGTCTAACTAAATTGAAGTTATAAGTTAAGATCGTTATCTGTTGTAAATTTTATAATTTTAGTTCCCATCACTTAATTATTAAGTGATATATGCTACTACATCTTAAAAACACTCAATTATGCTATCAGCAGAAAAAAATTGAGAAGTAAATCGCTACATTATCTCGGATGGGTGACCGTCCGAGAACTAATGTTCACCGGAACCGGTCGATAAACGATTCCACCACGCCGCACTCCAAACAGTTTTAATTTATTCAATTTGGACGATAGTAATTTCAAAATCTTTGAATTCTATCATCGTTTATCGGAAAAAGAAGGGGAGGAGAAGGATGATGAGGAGGAAGAATGAAATGGTTCCAGGTGTACAATTTGAATAAATGTTTAGTACAAATGTTAGATAAATAAATATATACATGTATTTCTTTTTTACAAAATAAAGACATAATAAGCATAATGACTAATATTACACAATCATCGGGAGGATGAGGGGGGTATCGTAAGAAAATATCGTACCTTTAGAATACAAACGATATAACTCAAGTCGATTTTGAGTTGTCACCACTGCTGAAACCACGGGATAAATATCTATTATTTGCACTCATCTCTTTTTTTCATCTTATTTTAAGATTAATTCAAAGTAGAAAATGATGAAAATATAAAATATGTTTGTTTTTCTCTTTAAGATTGTTTATTATTAAAGTTGATTTTTTTTTTTTGTGGTGTTGAGTATTAGAGAATTCTCTATGAAAATAGAAAATAATGATTAATGACAAGTAATTAAAACAAAAAAGTCAAAATATCACATAAAATAGTATTGTTGGTCGGTTTTGAAAATTCTTAAAATCTTTAATTGCATTTTCTCAGTAATTACTATTTTTTAGTTTTGCCGTTTGTATTCTTGGAGTGTGATATGATGTTAAACAATCACGATAATTATTTTAGAAGAGGTTAGGTATCCTTCATGATGGTGTCTATACATTTGTCTATTTACACGCAAGTTCGATATTGTCACGGCGGTGAGTTCATTACTTTAAGAACAGCCACACGAACTTACACATGCAGTTGATTATGATGAACAGCACGAGACAGATGATGAGTATGTGCAGTACAGCGTCCACCGTCTTAGGGCTAACACCGATGTCGATGAAAAACATTGTGGACCGTGGCTTAGGCTCGTCCACGGGTACCGCTTTGAAGCCCATCCAGCCGACGCCGTTCTTGCCCTTGCTGGTTGTCGCCAGCGCGTACATGGGCGAGATCATGCCGTCTAGGTCGTACGTGTCGCCCGCTTTTCGTCCCATCTCACCGGCGAACCAAGAAGCTTTCGGGCTCGTGTACCTGCGGAGAATAACTTTGAATTATTGATCACGAACAATCGCTGTCGATGGATAATGATAATATCGTGATAATTTATTGTTATTAAATTTTATTTTTTATTTTTTTTCCCCCAAGTCATCAGTTTTTCACTTGAGTGGATACCGGCAGACATGGTTGATGAACAATAGTTATTATTCGACTTACGATTACGAAATCTTTTTTTAATATTTTTTTTTTTTTACATTAAAGTATATTTCGGTTTCGATTCGATATGGCTGCACCGCACTACGTCAGGAACGGATTAAGAGTTTATCGAGCCTGGAGTCTAGTAGTCCAAAGGGCCCTTAATCCTTATAATATTTATTAACGATAACTGAATTTTATTTCTTTAAAAAAATGATACAAAATAATTGATTATACAGAAATATCTTTAACAATTTTTAATATTTGTCAATTTTTGTTACATGCAAATATACAATATTATTCTTTAAATGTAAAAAAAATCATTATAATATTTCAAAACTAACTTTATTCTCCTATTTTCTCTTCTCTTTTTGGAACTCCACAATAATTTAATCTGTATTTATTTCTTTTAGTAGAGATCTCAATTACAGATAAAAATAATACAATTACGAAAATTAAGAAAATGTATTATCAAAATAAAATTTAAACTAAAAAGTTTAAACTTTGAACTGGGTTTTTGATAGAAAGTCCCTTTGGGGCCTTAAATATTTTAGGTTCTGAAGCCTGGGCTCTTAGGCTCCATGCTTAATCCGGCCCTACGTTACGTATTAAATGTATATGGTTTTAACCGTAAAAACTATTGTTAGTACACGTTTATCGCACATCCAGTATTAGCCAAGCATTAATATTGATCTTGAAATGAATATTTATCGTTTAAACTAATTAATAATAGGTAATTTTATAGTTAAATGACTAAAAAAAAAAAAAAAAAATAAAATCAGTATTAAGTCACAAAATAGTAATGTAATTGATTGTTATTGCCAACTTTTGATTTCAAAATATAATGATCTATAACTTTGACAGCCGAAATTAATAATTTTCATTTTAGTTTTTAACAATAATGTGTGAACTACCATACTGATATATGTATAGCCAAGAGACAATCCCATTAGTGTTTCATAAAACTATCGGGTATATATTTGATCAACAGCTGAGTTACAACAAATTTCTATTAAATTATTTCAAGTTATAATCAATAATAATTAATTTAATATAAGGTACCTGAGCACATATATTTATTATACTTATGTGCGCGTATAAAGGTCTATTGTTTACATTTCCATTTATCAAATAATATATTTTTAAGTAATTTTATATACATATATATATATATATATATATACATAAAATATTGGTTATAATGGAGCTATTAATCATTTTTTGGCACGAATCCTTAATTAGTAATCAGTAAGCCCATAAACAACTCAAGTTTTCTGTTATCGACCGATATTTCAGTGAACATCAGAAGAATGTTAACTAAGGACATCTTAATCATATTATAAAGAGAACATCGTTCGTTTTAATTCAATGCGTCCCAAAAACATAATATTATGTTGATCGTTTCGATTAATGTCAGAAAATATGTTATTTTGATGAAAATTTTATATTCTGATTATAATCATTCTACGTTTATTCCAATTTGATTCTCAAATTATATTTTTTTCTACCAACTAATTCAATCATAGAAAAATACATCCACCCTTTCACGTATTTTATTTTATTTTGTTGTTGTTTAATCATTATCGTAATGAAATAATGTCACTAATAAAACACTGACATGCCTAACTTACTCCGCGATTATACTATCTATTATTTACTATAAATATTTATAATTTATTTTCTTTTATCGATGTCATAAAAATTGAAAAAACAAATCGTTTTAATTGGAATGCACTGAATCTATTTAATATTGAAGTAGTACGATTTACAAATAAACAATTAATATTCCATTTAGCTATTGAATATTGAATGGTTTCACACGATTCCCGTATAAGCAATTTCTCGATATTGCTGTTTTCGTTTTTGACACATGAGAATTAATAATAAAGTTATTAATAAAAGTAACTGTTAATTATTTGTATATCGCATTATACTTGGCACGAATACTTACAAGTAGACTCAATCTAATTTTTGTAACAAAAATTACTCATCTTCCCGCAGGCTGTAATTGAAAATATATTTTAACTTGGCATACAATCAACTTTAAAATTCAAAATTTACTTTCTTATTTATCGGATGTTTAACAGTTTTGAAATATTATAATTAAACGTATGACAAATTAAATATGTGTGTGATACTTTTTAGATAGTGGTTATTGTGAAGGGGGACGAAAGAGGGCGGAGTCCTCCTTCTAATTTAAAAAAAGATTATGCGTCCCTTTAAATTTAAATCGGGGGGACATAACGCTTAACGGCGTTAGTAATTTTCACATAAAGTACATAATATACTACCATATGAAATATATTATTGATTGATATATCTGAACAAGTGGAAGAAAAAGTTAAGACTTGGAAGAAAAAATATTTATAACGAAGTAATATATTGCGATATGTAAGAAATAAGTATAAAATAATATTCTCATAATCGTGGGTTAATTTAATAGACGCTGTTTCTAATTGTAAACAGATACTCGGTCGCTCCTGTAGATATAACAATTATAATTTTAACACGTACACGGTCCGTTCGTGTATGGTATAAACATAGGTTATACCAAATCCGACACTCAACACCAACACATAATTATTTATTATAATAGCTGTTTCAAAACTGTATTGATATGTGATAGACAGCAGCATTTAATGATTGTATGTTAAAAATATTTGCTTTCTGTTTTTGACGGTATGGTCATGGAGTAAACAAGTTACAATAAAATACACGTTAGGTAAGTTCTTAAGTTGTAATTAAAAGGCGGATTCTTAGGTTTTTCAAAGTATAGTATATGCACGGAAAATAACCTCAAAATATGCCCTAAATATTCTCTTAAAAACTGGTAAAATTCGTTCGAAAAGTGCATAAATCCGAGGAATATTTTATTTTCTTCAAAATATTCTTAAGTATGCTAATTATTTAATCATATATAATATTATAAATTCAATGTATATATTTTGATTTATATTGATAAAAGTTGTATTAATTGTTATTTTCACTTATAAACATGTAGCTACTTACTCAGAATAGGTATTACATATCTTAGGTAACAAAAAATGTGTTCAGTAAAAAACGCATGACAACTTACATAAAGTTTTTTCATATGTAAAATTAAAAATCGCAAAATTTTTAATAAAACAACAAATTTATATCTAGTGATCATATTGTTAAATAATATTATAAAATAATTATTATTGTTTTATTTTAATTCGTTTTTCATATTATGTTTTTTTTTTCTGTGATATTTAAGTCCAAATTTATGAATTGAACAAATATGATATTTTCTACAGACAACAATACATATTATATGAAAATAAAATAATATTCTCTAATCCCCAAAATATGTTGAATTATGTAAAATAAATATTTTTTCTACAAAATCAAATAAATAACTATAGTAAATAAATATAAAAATAAAAGTTACACATTAGTCGCATAAAAAAATATATATTTATTTAGTTGTTGATAATACATATACATTATTATTATGTGAATATTTGTTACTGTTTTATTGACCGACAACTGTAGACTAGCAAGGTAAGCGATTGTTAATTTTTAATTTTGTTACAGTTATAAATGTTAAGTCTGTTTTGTATATATATAAATAATAAATAATTTAAAGTTAAGCATGTGAGTTGTCGTATTGTTTTATTATCCGACATGTGATTTTTAGTATAAATTTGTTTTATTTGTATTTTTAATAAAATATTTTAGATTAAACAAAATTAAAATTTTTAATTAATTTCTATAAACACTTTAGACCATAAATTACAATTTATTTTTACTGGCCTAGCATAATATGTTGAGAATAGTTTTTTTTTTTTTTTTTTTTGGGAGGAAACTTATTTTTAGTTTTTACACGCTATTAAACGTTTTATAAAACAAATTTGTGTAAAAGAAAAAAACTACTGTGGTTTTGTCTTATGGACTACCTAAAAAAGTTTGATAGGATTAAGACTTTCATAAAGGAAGTTCCTTTATCATTTTTGGTGATTCTAGTTTCCCCTAAACATTTTAACCACTTTACCCACTGCTTTTAGATAAAATTAACATTTTTGTACAACGTTTTTAGTGATTTCTTACCGATTCGGTTTATCAACCGGATATTTCTGGTCCAAAAATCATTATGTATAGGTATAAGTAATCAATTACTTTAAGTGTATTTTAAATATCGGTAACGTTAAGTAGCATACGATAAATATATAATGAAATGAACAATAAAACAAACTACATCATTGGAGTAGCAGCTCAAATGCAGTATGACGTCTTCTTACTCTAAGCTTATATTGTGTGTTGTGTTGAAAATTATACAGATTGTTTCTGATTGTAATAAATGTATATGAATTAACAAAATTTTTATTTACATTGACTAAAACACCACCTAGTTTTTAAATGATAAATTTTAAAATGATTTAAATGATTGTATACAATCTATTTTGTTGTTTTTAAAATAATCATCAGCAAAAGTAACATTTTGCTGACGAAAAAATCACACCAGAATGAAAATAATAATAAATTATTTATTGCATATAAAATAGTTATCATTGCCCAGACTATAACATAAGTCTTAAGGTAATTATTAATAATATAAAAACACAAAGTATCAGAACCGTTAAATAATGTTTCATTTAAAGCGTTTAAACAAATCAGAAAAACATTATACCACAACATTTTTTGTATAATATATTTATTTAAAACATAATTATTAATTGAGTAAATTTAAATATGAATAGTTATTTATCTTTGTTTTGTTCTTATGTTTTTATTTTTTGGTGGTTCAACTCATCTTCTTATAATGTAATAATGAAGATTTCTTTATCCAAATTTTTATTTAAATAAATCATAATTACAGCGAGTAGTGAAACCTTCAAACACAAATTATTTGAATTAAATCTTTAAACTTATTTTCATGAAGAATAATAACCTTGTTTTTGGTAACCGTTTTTATTTAGTTAGTCTGACTAGTTAGTTACCTACGAAGGTTAAAATCTATCTTATACCATATCATTACGGTTTACTATTTACGGTTGAGGAGAGTGAAAGATATTAAATGTTGTCCATGAATTTCTTGCATAATATTGAAAATGTAAAATATACCCATTTGTTTAAAACGATTGTGTGTGTATGGCACTATTGTCTATTTTATTGGTTTTTGATACTTTATTTACATTACCTACTCTAAATATTTATTATATATAAATATCAAGTAAAAACATGAATTAATTTATTCATACATTTATTAAATAATCATCGAAATTTTGAGAATATTATAGAAATATTTATACACGTATAAATATTATTTATATTATTTATGAGCTATTATACTTAGTTTACTTAAAATTATTTGATTATATGTTTCAGAATAAACAAAAATCAAGCGATCATGGAAAAAACGTACTTTAACGAATCGCACTTACCAGGTAAATAAATATTTATTTAAAATTTTAGAAATTCACAAGACAACTGGTTAATGTTGTTATTTATAAAAAGCGTTTTTTCGTGAATTTCAGAAGATTAGTTGTAAAATTTTCTTGTGTGGAAATTTAAATCATATTTAATTATATTAAATTATATTTATATAATTTATTTTTATATTTAATTATAATTATATATTATATTTAATTATATTATTATTTTAATTTAAATCATATTTTTTTATGTAAAATATTAAATATGTCGGTTATTATCGTTTTGAGCTGTTATTATTTCAATATTTGTGAACTTTTCTTGTTCGGATTTTATGTTATTTATCTGTGTATCCTTGAACCGACCTGTATTATTGTCATGTTACGGATAATAACTTTGACACAGAAAAAACACATGAAAATAAACGATCAGCAATTTATTCTGCTATCCTTGACACCGATGTTTGTCTGGTAAAACGATTCAATTTGATAGTGAATAATTTTCATTTTTTATTTTTAATATTATATTTTGCCTTTAAACGATATTTATTGAGTAACTAAATATGAGGATCAGCAATATTTCCTATGTATATGAATCCATTCAGGGGTTTTTTTTCTTAAAATATTTTAATATTAATAAATACGAGTAGATTAAAAATTGTTGCTTTTATCTAAACAGCACCGAACTTGTATGCCTTTACTGTAAAAGAAGAATGAGAGAACCAGTACCGATTCAATAAAGCAGTTTTGCAGTTAAAAGGCAATTTGATAATATTTTATATAAGTAAATTGCACGATAATTAATATGCTAAAATATACAACCATTTATGTTTCACAATAAAGGTATACATTTACACAACATGATACACTTTCATTATACGTATTTTATAAAACTTTTTCGGCCACGTTTTCATATAAAGTAACGGATTTTGTTCAAAATTTTCTCATAACATCTCAATTTATGTTCTCATGCAGATAATGTTTACTTAAATGCACGGTAAAATTGTTTTACGAGAAATTGACGAGAAAGCAAATGCACAAGTATAATGGATTAATTTAAAAATCAAAATAATTTTGGTTTTGATAATTATTATCAAATCATCAATTTAGTAGAATGATACACCCAAATTACTGTCTATTGATTGTAAATTAAATTAAGTACAGTCGGTGCTTATTTCGCAACTTTTAACAAATTTTTAATGATGACATCCATAATTATTGTGTTTCGATAATAATACATACAAAACGCGTTATAACTATAAACGTTATGGTTCTTTACTGTCGTTTATGTAAATCGTAAGTGTAATAAATCATATTTAGTGTTGAGCACGAACATAATGAAAATGAACCGAATCTCTTTGACGATAGTTTTTTATTTCAATTCGAAACAAAAACACTTAAATAACAGTTAGGTCAAAAAGTTTGAATTAAATTTAAATTTAATTAAATTAAAATGTGCGTGCATAACATTTGGATGTAGGCTTATTCAGTGAAAAACAATTATGCATCCACTGTTTTTTTATTGAGTGTTCACTTGCGTGGTTGTTGGCAGAGAATAAGAAAATCTGTAGCGTTCGTAGTAGAAAAAAAAAAATATGATCGCGTCGCGAAGGGCTTAACGTTTATATGAATATTTGTGTCTCAAACGATTGAAATAGCATTTTTGTTTCGGCGTCAGAAGTCCTGTGCGCGACTATGCCAACCTGGAGTGCTGTACATCGACTACGTCATGTTAGTTGTTCCGACGAATCGCATTGCCAGGGAAGGGATGTCTGACGAAAATGCGCATAGTAGCCAGTTAACTACGATGTTCGTAACAACCCGCGGTGGAATATTTCTGCCTGCCATTTTCCAGTCCATTGACGTATATTACGTAAATCGTATATATATTTTTATTTTTTTTTTGTTTTCTTTTCCTTTCTCATATTTGTGAAATTTGGCAGCGCATTTTCACCGACGAAAGCACGCCGTGTCACTATGATTTATGACTTACTAGTGTGATGAAGTGCCTTATGCACACGCGCGTTCTCGTATCTATGCTTTTGATTTCGTTCACATTTATACGGCTCCCAGGCCCCAGCGTGGGTTATTTATATGTATCTTATTGATTAATCGATTTACACGTACGCAACCAAATACGTATTTTAACAATTAACATAAACGCGAATGTTCTCCGAATAATATTAAAGTTCGCTCGATAAGAACTATAATACATTTGTTTATTTATTTATGCATTTATTATACACTCCTAATAATATTGTTTTGTTGAGGGAAAGAAATCAAACGAACAATCATAAAATATTTTACGTTGGTTTAAAATTTACTTATTAGGTATTTGTTTAAAATGTTAATATGACTATAATGATAGATTTATTATATGTGTAATCTTGTTAAATAGTAAATTGATCGATTTTCTATAACAGAATTTTTATTAATAATGAATTGTATACAATAGTACAAATAATCCATAATTCATACCTATAACAGAAAATCGATATTCTTATAACATTACATACACACTTCTTAATATTAAATACAATATAAATATGTTAAAAAAATATTTCAAATTTTTTTAAATACATTTTTTTAAGTTTCGTTGTTATCAGATTATTAATTCTTAAAACATAACTGCAAAATTACATTTATTTCTAGTGAGTAGTGACTAATGACTAACGTTATGAATTAATTTTAACGAATAACGAGTGTTGGTAAGTATTAGTAAGTATGTGGGTTACTGGGATTCGGGGTGTCGCCGTGCTACAATATTATAAAATATAAATAGCCATTAGATATACGATTAACGGGAATATTTTTTTTCATATCTTTAAATACTTTTTTTTGATAGCAATATTTATAATCGTCACTTCGTCTTGACGACGGTAAGCAATTTCTTCAAAATCAAAAAACCAAACTAACAATCTTGTTTGAACATTTTGTTTTTAATATTTTTGAATACAAAATATAATAATATGTATTCGAAATATATTTGAAATACAGAAAAAAAATTTAAATACTAGTATTTAAATATTTAACAAGTATGTATGTAGGTTTATCATAATAAGTACTTACAGAGTTTATTGGCTGCTGTTCAATATACGTGCAGTATGGTCCTACAGTGTTTATTGACTGTTCAATATATATAAGTTAAAATAAAGTTATTAGTTTATAGTTTAAAGTTATAAATTTTAATATGAATATTGTTCCTGGTATCCACGAAGGAATGTTATTAAATATATATAATTTCGAATATAAAAAAACAACTAAGGTATGGTATGTACAACTGACGCAATAATTACCTCAAAATGTATATTTTTTGACTATAATATATGTCAATTACATAACTTTTTGAACATTTGAATTTTTGATATTATATTTTTCGACCAAAAATATATTCGAAAGGATGAAATTTCGATTACATTTATCCTACCACTATACTTTCGACTACTAAATTTTCGATCAGACCATCCAATGCCACATGGCCGTATCCAGCCATTATTTTTGGGGGGGGTTTTCAATTTAAGATGAAACTAGAACATGATTTTTAGAATTTTAACCAATTCAAACCATATTAGTTTTTAGGTTTAAAAATGTACTTATATTATTCACCATATTATATAATATACATTCTGCTTTAATACTTACTACTCGTAAGGTATTTCAATTGACAACCACATTTTACATGAAAATATTTTTATAGTTATATAATTATAATTAGAGTAAGTATATTTAATAATTATTAAAACATGTAACTTACATTTTTTAATTTGACAATTTATAGGATTATTAATTTTAAAGTAACATTATTTTTCTAGATGATTTTGAAAACTGAGTAAGTACCTCTTCTGGATCAACATTGATGTCCCGGTGAACTGACATTAAAGCCAATCCATTGAGGCGTGTTTCACTAGTCGAATTTCTGAGATACGTTTTCAATCTTTTTAAAGATGAAAATGTTCTTTCTGGTGTCGCTGTTGACATAGGCATAGTAACTAAGACTTGTAGAAGTTTCCTTATGTTAGGAAATAAAAGAGGGTTACAATTGTCAAGTCCTGCAATTGCTGTTTTTGGGCGAGATCCTTCTTTTAGCCACTTTGTCTTCCATATTGCAAATTCAGCTTTGAAAGCATTAGGCTCAATCAATATCTGAGAATAAAAGTTTACACAGTCGTTTATTTCTTCATTGGTAGCGATTATACATTTACTTGGAATGATTTGTTGTAATGAACTTATTAAAGATTTGTGTTTCTGAAATCTATCACAAAGCTGTGATCTGATATAGTCGAGAAATGGCAAAAAAATATTAAAATTGTAATACTCTTCAGAGCTATGAGAGGGCACATTACTACGGTGTGTTTGTTTATTAGCGATACGAGGCAAAACAATGTCTTCTTTATTTTTATTCAACATGATGGCAACAACAGAAAACAGGTCTGAAAAATGTTGTTTGTTATTTTCTCTCATTTCGTCTAATACGGCTAACACATCATCAACATGATTGCATGCTTCGACTAAATCAGCATTAATTGTCTGTAGCTGTTTACACAATGTCAATGTATACGAAAAAATATTTTCAATTATTACGAGAGGTATAACAAATTTAGCGTCTTTAATTGTACTTAATAACTGACAAGACTTTTGAGCAGTTTCTTTATTTATTGATGACTCCAATTTTTCCAATGCAACAATAATAGCGGGATATAGTTCTTTGAACCGCATGACACTTTCATGCTTATAAACCCAACGAGTTTCACATAATGCAACTAATGTGGTATGCCTTGTCTCTGAAAGAGTTTCGATAATAGTTGTTCTCAATAATTCACTTCTTTGAGCCGATGAGCGAAAAAATGTTCCAACAGTTTGAATGGTGCTAATACAGTTTCTTATTGAGGGCAATGAACAGGCGTTGGCCAACGCTAGATTGAGCGAGTGAGCACTGCAATGTACATAAAGTGCCATGGGAAAATCTTTTTTTATGTATTCTTGAGCACCATGTAAATATCCACTCATGGCAGAGGCTCCATCGTAACCTTGTCCAACTAAAAATTGACAATGTATACTGTTCTTCTGTAAACACCCCATTATCAAAGTTGCTAGTCCTTTTCCACTAAGATCAACAGCCGGTGTAAATTCTAAAAAATCTTCTCGGATTTTTTTATCTTTTTGGTCATAATAACGCAAACATACAGACATTTGTTCAATTCTTCCAATATCTGTAGTTTCGTCCGCTAACACAGAAAAGCACTCGGCAGCATTTACTCTTTGGACAATTTTTGACTTGATTATTTCACCACAAATAGAAATTATGTCATTTTGAATACCAGGACTAGTATATAAAGAATTTCTTGGACCATTTTTCAAATGTTCTCCTAGCGTAGTGTCACCTGAATCTACACGAAACCGTAAAAGAGCTCTAAAATTTCCGTCATTAAAATCATTTATGTTCATTACATTTCCATAATCGTTTGATCCACGAAAAGCAATTTCTTGCCTACTACAAAGAATTATGGTTTTTATAATAGAAAGTAAAATTTTTCTATTTTGTTCAATCTGTCTAGAACGTTCAATACTGAGTTGTTCAGTTATATTTTTAGATATTCCTTCATTCACTTTTAAAAAACTATCAGATTTCTCGACACACAATTTGTGATAAGATGTGGTAGCATGTAATTGAAAGTCTTGCAAAGCATTTTTCCAATTAGTATACTCTTTAGAAACAAGTGCACCTAATTTTTGATGACTACCATTACCTCCTTTTTCTCGAGCAAACAAAACACATAGTCTACAAAATGCTCCTTCAAATAATTGTGAATAACTAAGCCATGGAAATCGTTTTATCCAAGATAATTGAAATCGTAAATTTCTTTTGGTTTTTACAGGGAAAATATATGTTGAAGAAGGAACCCACGGAGTTTTTAAGAGTTCCTCTTTTTTTAAATCGTTAATTTCTAAATTATGGACATAATTACCAATATCATTTACTCCAACTATGGGTGTTTTAGTAAAATTATTGGACATGGTAGAAACAGAAGGAGTATAATTGCTATGCATTGAAGTAAGGTTGTGAATATCAGTACTATTTTTGCTAACTGAGGGAAGTTCTTCTAAGTAAGCTTGTTCAATAGAAACATCTTTATTCGAATAATTAATATTAGTAGGTTCAACTGGTTGAAATTCAGAATTTGGATTGTTTGTCTTATCTTTTTTTATTTGTGTAAATGCAGTGATGTCCAATTGTCTTTGAACTCGTTTCATTTTCGGTATTTAATTTTTGTGTATTAATTCTAAAAATAAACATATTGTGCATAAGTGAGAATTCGCCCGTGTTTATAGATATTTTGGAGCTGTTATAACTAAAAATTTTATTTAGGAAATATCTATTTAAAATGTCTAAAATCAACCTAAATGCCACTTAAATTGTATATTGATGAATAAGATAAATGAAGACATTTTATAAAAGTAATTTTTTTGTGACATTAATTTTCTTACACGAAAAATTACAATAATTACAAGATGTGCTACATAATATTATACATATCAAAATAAAATAAATAAATAAAATAAAAGATTAAAATAAATAGGATTGATAAATGATAATATGTATAATTAATGTTGGGCGTTAATGCATAACTTGCACACTGAATAAACACCACTGATATCTATAATATAGAGACTATGCAGGTACATAATTACATTAACTGTCCAACATATAAACTGGTATAAAATAAATGAGCTATGATATTTTATAAATAATATAACTCTAAAACTATTAAATAAAAAATGGTAGTAAATATACTTACGGAATTCAGATCAATAGAAACGTTTAACAGCAATGTTTACGGCGCATCGCCATGGTGTGTTGTATGACGAGAATCCAAAAGAAAAATGATTCGGTAATCGGTTATCCGAATTAGTTCTATTCGAGTTGAAATTAAACATCGACGATTATTCTAATAAGGTATGTACACTATCAAAATTTGAAGAATACTAAAAATAACTACGTAAATACTCTGGTGCGTCCATATGAACAGCCAAAGCTATGGGCAGGCGACAACGATAACGTCAGTCGTGATCTTATCTCATTGTATACATAGTTTTACCCGTCGTAAAGCAGTGCACTGTTTTAGATTCAATTTTTGTGCGTAGACATTCTCGTAGACAATTCTATTTTATTTACACAATAATAATACGTCTGGGATAATAATTTACCTTATGTGCGACTTAGACGATTGATTAAGAAACACTTTTCTATTGAATTTCAATTGAATACAGAAAAAAAACATCAAGTGAATAGGCAAAAAAAAAATGTTGAACAAATTTTGGGGGGGGTTTGAACCCGGAAAACCCTCCCCCTGAATACGGCCATGCAATGCCACCTGGTTACCTCGATAGTCTAGATTCGGGAATCATTTGTTTGACAAATAAAGTTCTTGGACGTCCTAGATTTCTCTTTCCTTCAATTTTCTTTTCTATTATTCTATAAATTAGTTCATTTTCGTGTCTCAATATGTGAACGATCATGTTCCATCGTCTTGTTTTGATGGTTTTGAATGTCCCTTTGCTTTCATCTATTTCACTGAGTATGCTTTCGTTGGTATGGTGTTTATATGTATGTATATTGACGTTAAGAATTATTAGTAAAAATAATTTTTAAATAAATTTATTTTTTCACTCGAAGCGTTTATTCGTTAATAATTAACATATATAACAACATAAATATAGTTGGCTTAACTACAAGTATTTTAAACCATTATACAAAAAAGTAAAAGTAAATAAATTGCAATACCAATCGATGAAAATCATAAACAAAAACATGTTAGTAAAAATATATGGAAAATGTCTTTTTTGCCACTATAAATAGTGATTACCTGTTAAAAAATGTCAGTAAACGTGTTCCACAAAGAATTTATAAAAATGAGTCATTGATGCATGATAGAGTTATTTTGCGAAAAGATTCCAATTATGCGACAAGGAAAAAATGCTATCTACTTTATAATATTTATCAATTATTGATTCGAAAAATATTATTATTAATGCATGCGAAATAAAACTTATAATTTTACGTTCAAAATATTTAAAATTATATTTACCCAATCATCCTATTTTTTCTTCAATGGACCGTTAATAAATTAATATAAAATATTGTGACGTATTCTTTAGAATTTAGTTTAAAATATGTCACATACTTGTTGATCAACATGCCTAACATTATAGTTAACTGTTAAGAATAATTTGCGACAAAGCATATTGTGCAGAATTTTTATTTAGAAGGAGAAATTGGAGTGGGGGAAAAAGTAATTGTTAAAAAAGTTTTATATTATTTCATAAATATGTATTTAAATAATATGTATGATTTCGAAAACAATCTATGTCACACAACTAAAGGAAATAACCTTGACATTATACATTTTTAATTACTCGTTTTTGTTTTAATTTCATTGATTTTGAATAATAATTAATGAGTTGGGATCATTTAAAAAAAAAAAAAAACAAGTGTTAGTTATTTTAAATATTAGTTTTATTTTTGTGTTATTGTATGATTTGATGGTAATAATCAAAATGAGGGGGGGTTCTAAATTAAGAAAATTAAAAAAAATGTCTTCTCTTATAAGTAAGGACTATAATAAATATAGTGTCCAAAACAAATATTACAATCATATTATCGTCATCAGCATATTAAACAACAATTTAAACATGAATTAGATGAAAAAATATATTTTGTGTAATTAACAGTATTTTATGATACGTTACACGTGTTCCATAAATTAATTTAATATTGCACGTCCGGTAGTGTTGACACGTTGTAATGCGCAGAAGTTTCCGGGTAAAATCGTAATAGTTTTTTTGTGACATTCACATAACTGAATACTATAAATTCTCTGGGATATGACCTTTAGTTTTGTTTTAAATATGACCAGGGTCTTAAACTTAAAAAACGTACACAAAAATATTAAAAAAAAAAAAAACAATTGATAGTTACCAAAACCGATGGCATAAAAATGTAATTTATAATTCTACAGCTAATTATGTATATTTATTTCGAATGTGTATTATATCGAGTGTTTAAAAAAAAAAACGCAGAGTTTAAATCTGCTATAAATTAAATTAATTTCATTTTAAAAAACATAACAAACATATCATTCTCTTTGTGTTAGGTTTAGGTTTAACAGTGAAAAACAATATCGGGTATATGATCCTCCCTACAAGCGATTATTCTTTCCAAAAAATTTACCATTACCCGATCACACATTGCCCCATCAGGTTCGTTGAGGACACGATGAATTTCTTGCTTAAGTTTCAAGACATTTCGAACTTTGTTCTGATAAACTCATGACTTATTGTATCTCTATAAGAAAAAAATCACACGGCGTCAATTCGCAAAATCGAAGTGGGTAGCTTTGGTCTACGCGCAATGAGATTAGTCTTTCCGGGAACTTCTCATGCAGCAGAGGGATTGTTTCTCTTGAAGTGTAACAAGACGCGTTATCTTTTTGTAATCATACAAGAATACATACTGAGCTTAATAATTTTCTTTGGCCTTATTTGTACCAAATGAATATCAAAAATGTTTGGTATCAACTTGTCACACTTCAAGAGAAGCAGCTCTGCTACGCGAGAAGTTTCCGGACAGACTAATTTCATGGCGCGGAGACCAAAGCTACCCACTTCGATCCTGCGACTTGACGCCATGTGATTTTTTCGTGTCCTCAACGAACTTGATGGGGTAATGTGTTATCCAGTGATGGTAAATTTTATGAAAAGAATAATCGCCTGAAGAGCTAGTAGGGAGGATCATATGCTGGAAGGTCATATATTGTTTTTCACTGTTAAACCTTAACTTCTCCTGTAGAGAATGATATATTTGTTATGTTTTTTTAAAAGAAATTTAATTTATAGAAAATTTAAATCCTGTGTTATTTTTGAAACACCTTATAGTTATTTTAATAATAAAAGCTATTTTAAACTTATAATAATTTCTGGAAAAAGCAAAAAATAGTTGAAAATCTAGTCTTAGAATTATTTATTTGCCCATTTTTTATAAGGAATGTTCGAAAGATATTACGATTATGGTAGAAAATTTTATTTGATTAATATTTTTAGGGAAGGTTCATTAGTTTTAGTATTTTTAAAATTCAATGGTTATGACTAGGGCTCGGAATTTATTGTACACAAATTGTATGTAACATGTATTCACATACCTAATATGCACATTATTACTTAAAATAACCGAAGTATGCGCAATAATATGCAACTGAATTTTTTTACAATGGCTATTAAATTTTTTTTTTAATTTGATTTATTAAATTTTGAATGTATACAATTTTTTTTGTTTGGTTATTTTTTGACTACTATAACTTTAATATGTTTAAACCTATAATATTACTCCATATTATGGAATTAATTTTTTTCGTCTTCTTCCTTTACTATGAAAAAAGGTTTAATGTTATAAAAAATTTAGAAAAAAAACAATGTTAATCATTAAAATAAATTTACTTCGAATAAAACATAAAAATGAGTAAACATGCTCTAAATAACTATTAAATTGAAAAAATCTGTCTAATATGCATTTTACATAAACAACGGTAAAATATGCAAAAATATGCAATTAAAATTTTAGTATTTCAGTCCGTTATGCTTTATAACATTTATATCTTACTCAGATTATTTTACAGTCATTATTAAAGAATATGTAAATGCAACAAGTCCCGAACCCTAGTTATTATCATTGGCTGTGAACGTATTTTAAAATTTCGCTCGTGCTCTATAAACTTTAATAACTTTGAAAATACATCCTTACTCCGGTAAGCCTATCAATGTATTTTTCGTGTTATTAAGAAATAAAAAATAAACATTTGGTTTTCTTATTTTTTGGTGATTTTTATACGGTTATGAATGATTATTTGTATATATAAATATATATTTATATATATATTGTTTCTTTTCCTAGTCTTCGGTAGTGTGTTAACGTTTTGGTTTCCGGTTTTATTTTAAGAATGTATTTACACAGTGTGAATTTTGCTCTACTGTCTGTTTCACTTGTGTCTCACGTGTATTTATACTATTCATCTTGAAACACACATTCCGTTTTTAGGTTATCGCTCTCCATAGTTTATTTAAATGTCAGAAACTCTTGGAAATACTCTTGGAAAATATATCTTTGTTATATCTTCTTTATCTTCATAATCACTCTTTCGTTCTGTGTCATTTTGTTCTTATTACATCATTCTTTCACCAATATTAAAATCTATAGGTTATTCAAACCATTTTTTATTATTGGACTTGAATTTTTCGTGTTCATAGTCTCTTATAACTTATTAGCATCAGTTTCTAATGATCTGATCTACTTTTATCTGATTTAATATTCTCCAATTTCCTCTCGATCACACTTCGCCGGGAATAAAATCTTCTTACCTTCGCGTAATTGATCCCGAACCGATCAAACGTGACATTCGTCATGTTCCGTTCATCCATTTATCCTTTTCTCATCGATTTTGTTCTAACCTCTCTTTTCAAGCAGGTTAATTCCGTTCCATAATTATTTCCCCTTGCATTATCATTAATTTTACAATAAACCTCGACAACTTAATCCAAACGCATAACATAGTAAAATAACTATTGTAGATCATGTAATTTGACTATTGGTAAGTTATAATATCGCGAGATGGAAGCAACCAATGTCGAATAAAAGAAAAATAATACCAATAACGTCACGAATCGAGATCAGGATTTGAGAGCGAGCACATGTACACCACATATACGCACACGTTTATGCGGTGAACGTGTTATTCAGACCGTGCACTCCACCTTGGCAATGCGTGCTCTCGAAACAGGTATCAAAAGACGTGTGCTCAGAAAAATAACGATTTGTATTGCACCAGGTCAAGTGAACTCACGCAGCCGGAACAGCAGCCGGCGATGGCGTCAGTAGTTGTCGGTGCGCGAACGAGACACGCGTGTTTTTCGGTAAGTGAAGGGAGCGTACCGGTGAACGTGACGGAGGACTCCGAAGGCGAGTAATGAGATCAATGCGTCGGCGGCGGATGGATGTCTGAAGTAGACAATGATTTATGGACGTATTACGGTCGCGCAGCAGTTAGTGGTCGTGGCCACCGGGTGCCGAGAAAACTTACGCCGTGTCAGCTGACGAGACGGAATTCCTGGCGGACCTCTAACTCCATCGCATTGCTGTACGAGGCGCAGATTCATGTGGGTTTTGACACACCACTTGGTACAGGAAATGGGATATCAGTGCGCAAGTAGAGCACGGCTGTGCTCCTTTTCGAGTCGGAAAAGAAAAACTTCAAAACGTTTTATTTACTTCGATGTCTGCGATTAATGTTCACGAAACGAATAGATCGATATCAACGTGTAACCGAGTGAATTCGGTCCGATTACGGTGTTCGAAGCGCATAAATGATTTCGTCGTGTCTCGTTCGGCCTACGGTTGCAGACAGTTTTCAAGGGTAGGGGAAGTACCTAGATGTTAGCATAAACAAATATTATTGTACCTACTCGGATACAATGTGAAATTATTTCGATAAATTAGTTATTCTCCTGGGTGACTCGTTGAAGAACCGTATTTTGTGATTGATTCCTGTACGATAAAAGATAATT